TTTTTTTTTTTTTTTTTTTTAATTCAAGGTAAAATTTACTTGAGAAAAAAAAAAGATTGGCTGAGCATTAAATTCTTATTAAGTTGTTTCTTTTCCTAGCATAATCCAAAGATTATTATTCTTTGATGAAAAGTCTTCTGTTAAAAGGATGTTGTTTAGGTTGCAAAGTCTGACTGGCTGCTTAATTTTGTCCCTTTTCATCCATCTTGCATACTGAACACAGCTCTTGCGCACAACAATACCACAAACTTGAAAACTGTAAATCATACTGCAAGACAGGACAAAAATGAGGTATTTCCTATTTTTGAAAGCCTGACTTTGCAAACTTAATGTAATTCTTTTAAGACAGATTTTTAAAGGAAATAAATTAAAAAAAAAAAAAATCACATTCCTGTTTACTATTACCAACCCTACCCACATCAAGCATCAGCAGTGGGGTCTGACTCTGGAACTGTCATCATTGCACGTAACTGCTAACACTTGAAGGTTATGCTAGTTGCATGAGGACACTATTATCACAAAGACAAGAGTTAGGGCAGCATTAATATGAGGAATTACTCTTTTTACCACCTCCCAAGAGTCAGGTAAGTGCCTACCTTAAGTGCTGCTCTTAGAAGGGAAAATGAACTTCTGGGACTATGTGCTAGGTTAAGTAAAGGCCAGGAAAGGTGCTTATGAAGCTTAGCTTGGTTTGGCCTTGCCTCTTGTTTTAGAAATTGAGGGAGTTCCAGCTCCATGGGGTGCCCTAAGGGAATGGGAGGAGTGAAGAAGAGACCAAGGCCATGTGTTTGGACAGACCCAGTCCAGCTCTTCTTCCTGCCCCACATTACAGTTGCACTGGCAGCTCCCAGTATTTCCAATGCAGTGTTAGCTGCTGCTGCTTTAGCAGCAGCTGAACCTGGTAGTTTGTAACATTTTGTGTTCAGTTATTATTTTGCCACATTGCCAATATTTCCATGAAGACTACAAGTCAGAGAAGGGAAAGAGTTATTTAATAACATCCACTCTTCCTTCCAGATAATCTGTGCATTCACATTTCCTGGAGATGCCAAGCCTTGTAGCGGGCCATGATACCCTACATCTAACGTTTTCAGAGGAACACTTTCAACTTCAAGCCCCAAAAAGAAATCTCCCCATACGTAGAGGGCTCATCTCCTGACCACCTTGGTTTATATGTCAGTAGTTTTTAATATTTACAACCAAAGTGGGGCTTCTTTATGTAAAGCAGCAGTGTCCAACTCATCCAGCCCCATGGCTGGCTGAGTGGCAAGGAGCCAATCCAATGGCCAGATAACATCACTCCATGATCCTCATCTGACCCAGAGGCTGGAATTTGTTGATGGCAGTGTTAATTGCTGCAGCTCCGAGAACAGCAGCTGCCACTCTTCCCATTGTCAAACTTCCAGCCCTGCAGGCCGGATGATGACACAGCTCTGAGCTGTAGATCCAGCTCACGGAGTCCTTTTGGAAATCTGGCAGCTTGGCGAGCAGTGACAGCATCTTTTGCTGCAGCTCCTGAAGGCTCTAGGGTTGAATGGAATCTAGACACCCTCATGAAGCTGGATAGCTGGATTTCTTCCTCAGGACTGTAAAAGACTGCACATGTAAGAAAGCTGTTGTAATGAGATTCTACTGAAAGCTAGTATTTAGGTGCCAGTCTTCCAATTAAGGAAAAATAAATATAGTATCATGCCTGAGATGCATGGCACTGATAAGAAGCTTTGTGAAGACTGGACAGTCCAAATGGAGAGATACAAAATAGAAAGGATTTTTCTTTCTACAAAACCTAAGAAAGATATAAAGGAACTACTGGCCCTTTTTATGACCTGCTGTAAATAGAACCTAGTTCAATACAAAACATTTAAAACAATGGCTTTTTGCAGAACCAGTGTGCATAATCTTATCACACTTACATCTTCAGGAGAACTTATAAGGGTACAAATGTAAAGTTTACAGTTTATTCTTCAGTGTGACATGACTCCTCCACTAGTTCAGTCTTTTTTATGGAGTAAGCTCCTTAAGATCAAGACTGTCATATACTAGATCTCTCTACAGTGCCTTACACAATGGAGTCTAACTCAATTATGGAACACAGTTGCAATATAATATGTTCAACAGCCACTATCAACATTTACCTAAAGTCAAGTAAGTAGCTAAGTGATATATATATATTATTGTATATGTGGGGAAAAATAAAGTCAGTCAGTTACATGCAAGTCAACTGACCCTGTATCCTCCACTGTTTACCTTTTCTTTTAAATCAGTATATTTTATGTTTTAATAGCAGTAAATTAAAACCAACTATTAAAATGAAATCAATTACACATCCAACCCCCTCTCTTTTAACCTACTGAATAAAACTTCTGTAATCCAAAAACTAAGATCGGGTTCTCTCAGGCTGTGAGACTGTTTACCTGCAGTGGCCCTAGGATAGAGCTGGTGGTATACATGAAGAAGAGTCGAAGGTAACTGAGAACATTAGCAAAAGCAAAGAGACCTTCTGCCACAAGTGTAGGATGGAATGCGTCCCACTTTATCCTCTCACGAAAGCCATGGAACTAGTTAAAAAGAAAAAAAAGAAAAAAAGGTGAAGTGACTTATATTATAGTCAAGGTAAAAACAGGTTCTATCACCAGTATGACTCATAGATCTGAGTCTGCAGTAAACAAGGATTTTGTCTTTAGACAATATGTTCGATGTAGTTAAATGGAAAAACACTGACAATGGTTTGAAAACAGCACTGGGCTTGGAGTCAGGTGACCTAGGTTCTATTCCAGCCTCTACCACTTCATCTCCCTAAAGCTCCATATCCCCTCCTACTCTATCCACTGTAAAGGCTCTTTGAAACAGGCTGTTTTTCATTATATGTTGGTTATTGCACAATGGGCCCCACTATAGACACAACTGTAATACCAACAATAATAAAACTGAAACTACTACAAAACACCTAACAAAGCAAATTAAGCAGTAGTGACAGACTTGCAGATATGAACTCACTTGCCAAGGAAGAGTGATATAGGAATCAGGGGGGTCCTCCAGATGATACCTTGAAACTACATGCATTTCATACACCTAGCATTAATCAGACCTCAGAGGTTACAACTGCAAAGTCACAAACCAAAGGGAGGAAAGGAGTACTGTACAAGTATTTTCAGTGTCTATTACTTAAAGACTGTGGTATGGCTAATCTGAAGTTCCCTAATTGCTAGCAACCAAGCCCAAGATCGCCCTATAGTATGAAATAAAGGAATAAACCAGTGATCAAACAGCTGCCCCACAAATTTCTTTATGCTCTGTTTCTTTCTGTCCAAGATGTAGAGAGCGCTTGAATAAACTTTTATGCCTTAAGAAGGAATTTTACCAGGGGAGGTGCAAGCCTTTCTAATGGCCAATCTGATCCATCAGAAAAGCTTCTTTTATGAATGTCAGCACAGTTAATTGTTTCATAGTTTCTAGGGTCGGAAGGGACCTGAGTAGATCATCTAGTCTGACCCCCTGCCATGACAGGAAGAGTACTGGGGTCAAACGACTCCCGCAAGGTGTTCATCCAGCTTCCTCTTAAAGACTCCCAGGGTAGGAGCCAGCACCACTTCAC